CGTGTGGGGTGGTTGGTCAGTAGCATGCCCAGGGCGTGGTCAGGGTGTGGTCCACACGGTGCTCCGGGAAGTCCCTCTGAGCAGCCAGGGAGGGTCCAAGGGCCCCAGGCCTGGAGCCGGGCGAGCGCTGTGGGAAAGGTGCCAGGCCCCGGTGGTGCCCAGTGGTGGGCACTGAGGATCCAGGAGCTGGGCCAGAGGGTCCAGGGCGGGAAATGACAGTGAGGGCAGCAGCTGTTCCCATCAGCCAGGGGGCACCCTCCTCCTCCAGTGAGTTCAGCCCAGATGGCCCTGGGCCCCTCTCCTGGCCTGGCCTGCACCTGTGCCTCCCAGCAGCAGGCGGGCACCCGCCCTGGACATGCCCGCTGGAGCCTGTGCCCCTTCTCTTTCCTACTAAGTAGGAGATGAAGTGCCTTCCTCCTCCCAGGCTGCCTGCGAACGGAACTCCTCCTCGAGGAGCCTCAGAAGTCAGCCAGCGCCTGCCCCGCGGTGGCCCGGCTCCCCCTCCCACCCCAGCTGCCCAGCTCGGGCGCCACCACTCACACCTTCTCACGGGCACACAGGCCCCACACAGGCAAGGTGGCCTGTGGTGCAGAAGCAAGTCACAGAAAGCTACTTTAAAAAATAATCTGCATTTTCCTTGATTAGAAAAGTAATGCATATTCATTAACGTTTTAAAATAGACAAAGAAGATTAAAAATGGAAAAGCATCCGTAATTCCACTCCCTAGAGAGGGCCATGGCCAGCCTTTCTTCCTTTTTAAATGCACGTCTCCTTGGCCAGGAGGGCAAGGTGGGGAGTGACCTCCCTCAGCTGAGAACCCGTCAGGAGTGACCTCCCGTCACAGGTCAGGGTGGCATCTGGCCCACAGGCGGGGACACAGCAGCCCCCCCAGCAGCCACACTGCAGAGGGCACCTCTGGGGCCTCAGTCCCCTCGTCCCCTGTGAGGCTGACCCGCCTGGAGGCCTGCGCTCTCCACCCCCCACGCAGGGACCTGGCTTCCTGCCCCGCACCCCACAGGGGTTCCAGGGAGGACGTCTGGGGGCAGGGGGCTCTCTGGCCTGAAGGGTGGCCCCGGAGGATGTTGGGGGAAGGAATCCAGGTCTGTCTTTGGGACAAGCATTTGGAATCTGCATGAGGAGGGCAGCCGGGGAGTGGGGGGCGGCTGGGGGCCATGGACTGACATCCAAAGGGGACGGGAGGACGCCCACCTGCCTGCCACCAGCCACCCGAGGACGACACCCTTCCCGCCGGGGAGCCAGCAGGCCTGGTCCTCCGCACGCAGCCACCCTCCGTGCTGGTCGAGGACGGAGAGCGGCCCTGTCCCCTGACCTGCTCAGAGGGCCCCAGTGGGCTCGGCCGGGGGGGGCAGACTGGCATGTCCGCCCACTGACTGTCTGCTTGGCCCATGTGAGGGGCAGCGGGGCCAGAGGGGCAGGCGTGGGGCAGAGTGAGGGCTCCTCACCCACCTGGCGTCGGCCTCGCTGTAGTACTCTCTCGCCACAATGTCCTCAAACAGCTCCCCGCCGGTGACCCTGCGGGGAAGCACACAGGAGTCACGGCCTCGGATATCCATTCAGTTCCCTCCATGAC